TACAAGTAAAGAATTAAGGAGAAGTGGTGACATATGGGTCTGCTCCAATAGTGAACACGTAGTCACAAGATTCTTCTTTGTATATGACACTAACTCTGCTACCAGTGAAGCCTCTTCTCTTCACACTGAGACTAATAGAGCATTCAAACAAGAGATTATGCATGCAGTGGCTTTAGCTAGAAAAATGAAATTAGATAATTCTACTGCTTCAAAAACTAAATAGTATTAGAAATGATTGTTTATTGTGTTTGTGATATACAAACGTCATTTATGTTATTTTTATTTTTCATATAAAATGGCCATAAAATACAATTTATATGATTGACTGATTTGTATTACTGTAAATTTATACTTATTGTTTATGCTTATTTTTTTGCTCATTCTCATTCAATTGTTTATTAATAGTTTTAAAATTAATTCTGAGCTCTTACGTGTGTTGCTACATGTGTCATTGCATTGTTAGTGTTGAAGTAAATTGCTCTGTAGCTACTACTATAAGTGATGGCATACACAAAATACATTTGTACTATTGGCATTACATTGTGCTCACTGTAGTATTATAATGCCATTAAATGTATGCTCAGTTTTTCATTTAAAGGTGGCCTTACAATATATTATCTCATGTTGACACTGGAGTTAAATTTTTTTTCAACTCAGCATCAAAAAGTAAAATTGTTTACACTTTTGATTAAAAATTGATGATACACTGGCCTAACGTATATTGCAAACCCAGCTAAAAATGAGTGTTAAAATAGTTAACAGTTGCATGTTATTTACTACTATAAATTATGTTTTCAAATGTGATGTTTGTGGGAAGACCCTCCCATCGGCACTGCTCAGTGGGGGATTACTGGAGTGCAAACATAATTAGAGTATTGCACAGACAATACATGTGACTAGAACTGACAAAAGGTACCATTTGGCAGTTACTTCAATTAATCTTTATAGTAAAAAAATGTCAAATTTTGAGTGTTCTATTGAACTGTTTGCAAAAAAAATTCAAAATTATCTTTTTCAGCCGAACATGTACAAGTTGAAATTTTTTGTTAACCACCAAATGTCAGTTTCAGTAGTCACAAATGTAGTTACAGACAGTTTTAACTTCTTCACCATTCACAGGATAGCAAGCTCTTGCATGTGCCTCTGTACGACTGAAATCCAGTGTGACATCAACTTTACGACAGTCTAAAGGTAAGTTGTGTGGATTAGGAACATCAATGATGAGTTGACAAATTACTGTAACAGTTGAATCATTATCCTCATTTTTCAATTATGCACGTAATGATGTCTATGTCTATCTGTGTTAAATGGTTAACTACTAAAATTTAAATTAATAATTAATTAAATAATGATCTCAAGGTTTCTTAGCTAGATTCAATACTAATTTTTGTCTAAGACTAAGTAGAAAGAAAGTCACATACAATTTTAACTTCTTTGCCAGTCACACAATAGTGAGCTTTTGCTTGTATCTCTGTACCACTGAAATCCATTGTGATATCAACTTTACGATCACTACGAGGCAAGTTGTCAGGATTAGGTATATCAATATCAAGTTTACCAATTGCAGTAACAATTAGTTTCTTCTTCTCATCTGTGTAGTACTGAATCCCAAGTTGAAGTGTTGAATAGATGTTGATGCACATTCTAGTATCAGCTGAGTATCTTGGAGATAAAGTTATAGTAACTACCTCATCAGCTTTAGCTAATTCTCCTTTCTCTAGAAAGATGCTGAATATGTAATCACATTTGTATTCTTTTTGCTCTTCATTGTAATACTTATAAGCTTCATTGTGTTTTTTAGGATCAAATGGAAATGACGCTCCTATTCCATAAGTTGCATCAACTCGTCTTGCTTTGAATTTCTCAGGATTCTTACGCCACATAGCAGCTCCAGTAGCAACAGCTAATTGAGGAGTAGGAGGTACTATCACAGTGCATGTGCCTTTGTGACCTTTAGACTGATAGTGACTCTTTATGGCAGCACTGACCTTTTCATGAACGTATTTGCACCCTCCAAAAGCACCAACCAGGTAAAACGTATTGGGGCAGTTATCAATTTTGTCAATAGCTGCCAGGGTGCAATCGATAATGCCTTGGATAACTGGACCAAACAGCTTAGACTCTGTGACACTTTCATCAATGAAAAGTGTGTCATTATCATCTGGTTTGAACTCTGTACCACTCATTTTTGTTGCTTGCTTAACAAGAACTTTCTCGTAAAATCTGACAAAATTTCTTGGAAGTTCTACTGCAATTTCTTTGATGATTTTTCCTTGGCCAAAAAGCACCTTTTGTTTTTCAAATTCAATGTACACAATTTTAATTAGTGTAGCTCGATTTTTGGTATGATCTCCTGAAGCAATGAATTTCTCAAAGCCAGGATCACTGACTATTTCTTGAAGTAGTTTAGAGAATGCCTCATTAACCTGTGTACCACCCCATGTATTGCCACTAGGTATATTCTGGACTACAATACCTCCATCTACTTCAATATGAGCAGTGATATCTATTGTACCCCCTCCAGCATCAATCACCATATACTCTGTAGGTCGACTGATAGCTGCTGCTGATGGTTGACCTTTGATCTGCTCTACTACTGTTTCCTGACTATAAAGAGCTGCTGCTTCAGGCTCTAATGCTAGTGATAGCTTGTCAGGATTAACTTCAAATGGTACTGGTAAAGGACTGCTTGATATAGGAGTGAACTCACTGATCCTTTTAGACTTTGTTAGGAGACCAGCCTATATTGCAATAATAATGTCTTTATAATGAAATTTCATTCATACTTACCATATAAGCAGCTTCTCTCATCATTCTTTTTCCTCGTGCATCCCATATAGCAGGTACAGTAATGACCCAATCAAAATCTGTTGTCTTCAATGGCGTAGCACCACGAGAATGTAAACCTATTAACTTGTCCTTCAAGTACTGCAGTATGAAGGCAATGACTTCAATCAGATAAAACTTCTCACCAGAAAATGATTCAACAAGTACCTGTCTGTCAACATTCTAAAGCAAGAGTACATTTGCTATGAAGTATGAATTTTCAATTGTAACTTAACTTACTTTTTCTCTTTTTAGTAACATTTTGATTCTTTCAAAATAGATATATTCTTGATCAAAATTTTCATCTTTCCTCATTGTTGTAAACTGAGATCTAGCTGTATTCCCAAAAGCTGCCACTGATATTGCTTTCCCTTCTCTCTTGAACAGAACAGCATTGGTATCTCTTGCTGCTTTCTCTTGAACATCAAGTATGAATGTATTTATCATTTTATATCCTTTGGTAGTGTAAGCCAGTGAAACTGAAGTAGTACCAAAGTCAATAGCAGCAATGTTTCCTCCAGTAACTCGATAATTAGCAACTGTACGAGGAACCTTTTTAGCTCTACTAAATGGAGGCTTGTAGTCTTTTGGACGCAATTGCTTTTGAACTAATGGAAAAATTTGAGAACCAATAACAAGGACTTTATCAGCAGCTGATGCCATTTTAGATTTAACTCCACTCTTGGTTGAAGACAGTCTCTGTAGTCTGTATGTGTAGAATCAAGATTACTCTTGGTAGAATGTAGATATAACTGAGAATTGCTACCCTTAGAATTCAGTTATGATTGCAGGTATAGTGTATAGCTCCTGGAATTGTGTAATGTTATTCATTAGAGTTAGAGTTGCATCTGTTCACTCTACTAAGTTGGAATTGCATGGTTTGCATAGTGGTCCTGGAATTGTGCATAAGCTCTATACTAAAGCTTCAGTTCTTGGAATTGTTATGATAATGAATTAATGATACATAGGTTATATTTATTACATGATAAGATAGGTATCGATATAGTCTTAATTTAACTCTTAAATATTATTTAATGGAGGCTATCTGGTGCACTTTTTCAATAACATGTTCTCTTTTAACCATTATAGGATGTTAAAATAAGACCAAGTCTTGAAAATGGATTCCTTTGTCAGGTAAAAATAACCACTAAACATTCTATAAATAAAATATTATATAGCTTCTACGATTTTAGTATCATCAATATGTTAACTTGTGGTATATTCCTTTAGATAATGAAGTACACTTTGAACAGGATCCCATCATTGAATGAGTATGAGTTTTGTGTTATCTGTGATGAGAGACACGTACTGGAGACAGGACTACTAAAAGTAATCATATAATAAATAATGACACACTTATATTTACTTATTGAATTGTATTCCTTTTCTTATTTGTCACTCTCTTTATTTCACTACATTCTTCTTTTTTCTCTTTTCTTTCTTTATTCTCTATAGCCGTGTGTATGTACAAGAGAGTTGTGTGTCTTTGCTTTCCAAACACTAGGAGTAATGGCTGATGCTGCTGAATCAGTAGCAACTGATGCCAGTGTAAGAACTAACATACAATAACACATTAAGCTAACACTATTCACCATATGTACACATACACTATTAAGATCTGTGTATCATTTAAGCGTACATGTAATACTCTTTTTTGTTTTAGGTTGTTGACCTGTTGATTGCAATGTGTAATGCTGCTACCAACAGCAGTAGAGCCTCACTCATTCTTGATCAATTCCCATCTATTGTTGATCCATCCAATCCACACAGACTAGCTATGGATCCATCTGTAAGACCTTCACCATATTACCTTAATTATCTCTCTCCTTTTATTTGTCTCTTTCTTTCTCAGACTAAAGATTTCAATCAAGCAAAGGTGGTGATGTCAGCCATTATTACTGGAAGAGAAGAGCTTTTAGTGAGTTACTTATACCATCACT